CGTGGGGGGCGGATTTCCCCCTTCCCCCTGATCACGCCGGTAATCGCGAGTGATAAATCATTCCGACGGTAGACAGAATGACCCCACACGATCATGTAGTTATATCGCCCATCGCGTTCTCTGTCTCGCTTCGGCGGAGGCCCTCCTCCCGCCTGTGGTTGTGTTTCCTCCTCCTCCTCCTCGTCATGTTTGCCCCCCGTCCCCTCCTCCTTGTCGTCCCCCCCTTTCTCGTACTCCTCCGCCTTTTCCCATTCTCCTCCTTCTCCTCCCTTTCGCCGTCCTCTTCAATATCCTTTCTTGTCCTGTGCCAGTCTGTTTTCCCCATGCGCTTCCCCTGCCCCCTGGCCAGGGCACATTCATTTTCCTCGGCGCCGTCGCCTCCTCTGTCAGCACGCGCGCGTTTTCCGATGGCCCGATCGCGAAGCCGTTGGGGCGACAACCCCTCGGGCCAGGCCGTTGGGACAACCCCGCGAGCCGCTGGGGCCCATGAGCAAGCCGTTTGGATAACCCTCCCAGTCTCGAGGTAGCCGCGGCCGTTTGTCAAGCGGGAGGCAGCGCGAAACCCAGTTTTGCCGCGAGTTGATCCGCCCTCCTGTCGAACTCCCCGAACGCCTTTTTCGCAAAGGCGCCGGCGGCCCGCGTGGGTTAGGGCAGTATCAGCATGTTCCGCATGCGCGTGGCGCGTGGTAATTTGACGTGGAAATGCATCAACCACTGCTCGTCCGACATGTCCGTGTGGCCAGCGTCCTCATCTTTGGCGCAGTCGATGGTGACGCCCTTTGCGCAATATCCAGCCATGCGACAGCTTGTGAAAGCCAAATATGACGCGTGCGTCAGGGTGAACCCCGAGCGGCGCGCGGCGTGCGGCCACGAACTTTGCCATGTGAGCTCCTGTTCGCTGGGGTTCAACATGGGCGAATTCCTCGCCCGCGTCTCGGCCTCGCCGTCGTCGTCAGCGCCCTCGGTTCCCTGTCGCCGCAGTTTGGCGACCTCCCTGTAGATCGGGGGCTCTTTGAAACCGTGGACCTGCAACCAAATTCCTCGCAGTAGGCAGCGGAGGCGATGGAGCTGATCCGGCGCGCGTTCCTCGCACTCCCGTTCGTCTCCGTGGTGAAATTCGGAGGACACGGTGTTGACCCGTTGCCCCTGAACGAGCCCTAAGTTATTCTTCTTCAGCTCCTGCGAGGCCGTGAACCGAGCCTCCACGCCGACGTGCGCGGGCAAAACACCGTGCATGTCCCCCGTCGTGGGCACGCTCGTGGCACTCAGGTGGTGCCAGCCCGCGTCTGGATCGCTTCGAATCGCGCTGCACTCGTCCACGGCTTGCAGGAAAACGAAGGTCCCGCAAAGAAGGCGCGTGTCGCGACGAGCGCGCGTGTTGATCCACTTCGCCAGCGTCTCCCAGGATATGCACATGTTGTAGCCGAGCCAGAAGTGTTCGTGCCGACTCCGAGGGTCCAGGACACCGCGCGTTTCCGAAACCAGCGTCTTCTCCCATGCGGGCCAAACCCTTTGGTGGGAAAGTCTTGACCCCGCGCATGCAACCTCATAGCTAGGAGGAGTCGGCTTGCAGGGGGGGGCGGGCGCGGGGGGGGCGCCAACGACCGCGCCGATTCCATCGCGGCCCGCTGCCCCTTCCCGGGGCTCTCAGGAATCCTCCTGGCCCAGTCGGCCTCGCAGTCGGCGCCGGCGTCGCGTCGCCCGCGAGCGCCAGCCGGCGGGCGGGCCGACCTTGTTGCGCATGTTTGGCGCGCGAGACCCGCGCGGGCCTCGCGCTGTGCCCGCGCCCCAGGGCGACGGCCCAGGCCCTTGTAGCCTCCTGCGCTGACGCGATGGCCTCGCGCGCGGCGCAGGAGCGGGCGCCGCCGACGTTTCGGTTCGGTTCCGCGCACTTCTCATGCGAGAACGCAAAGCCCCCCACGCTGCTCGCGCGCTTTGCGCGCTGAGCAGCATGGGGGGCGACGGCCGCGCGTTCAATGGGAAACCGCAACGCAAGTTTACATTCCCGCGCGCGGGGCGGGGCATGAACTTACAGATGCGCCGACGGTCGAGAACTCGCGCGCGCGTTTGCGCCTGCCATGTTGGGCGTGCGCACTGGGCCCGGAAATCTGCGGCTCGGCCGCCCGATGCGCCCCAAAAATCGCTCCGCCTCCCCCCCCGCCCCCCTTCCCCTTAGAACTCTTTCGCGGTCCTGGAAAAACCGCGCCGCCGAGGCGGGAGCTCGGGCCGCGGCCTGATGGTCCCCGGGGCACAGGGGAATCAAAGGAATCAGTGCGGAATCAGTACAGAATCAAAACAGAATCGGCGCAACTGTGACCCCTGATTCTAGCGGAATCAAAAGAATCAGTACGGAATCAATACGGAATCAAAGGAGGAATCGGCGATGGAAACAGAATCGGCCAGAACGGGGAAGTAGGCCAGAATCGGTCCCAGAACCCATGGAGAGAGGCTTTTTCCCGCGAGTTCATGGCGGCGGGTCCGCGGCGCGGGCGCGCCGCGTGACTTCGCTGGTTCAGCGAGGCGCGCAGTCGGCGTTCAGAGTGAACAGGTTGTTTTCAGGGCGATGTCCTGGCGGCGCGCTGGCGCATTGCGCATTTGCGTGTTCCTGGCGGGCTGTTTGACGGCGACCCGGCAGCGTCGGCCGAATGGCCCGCAAATGCCGCGCGGCCGATCGCGCGCCCCATGCGGTCACGTCGACCGCCGTGTGCCGCGACGGCCGCGCGCCCCGGACCGCGCCGCTTCCGCGTTGGATTGGGCGGCGCAGCGCCCGTCCTCCAAAAGTCGTTGCATGCATATCGCGCGTGTCAAGCCAGCAGCAATCGCTCCCAGAAGCAGCCTTGACAGGCGCCCCATGCCCGTTGTCGCCCAGTTCCGATCCAAATCATAGTTTCTGAGGATGCGCTTGCGCGAATGCGAGCGGGCGGGCAAGTAACGCGTGCGCGCGCTTGGCGCAGCCTGGGAAATCTTACATGGAGCCCCCCGGGGGCGCGGGGCGCCGGCGACGCTTCCGCCCGCCTCCCGCGCGCCCGACCCCCCCCGCAAGCCGACTCCTCCTACTCATAGCGTGATCACGGGCTCGAAGCGGTTCGTGCCGTCCAGTTCGAAGCGCATGAGATTTTGGAGAAGACCTCGAGGGCGTGCTGATTTTTCTAGTCCTCCTCATCGGATGAATCGAGCGACTGGCCTTCTATGGGGGCCCAAAATGACCCCGTCCGATTGGTCCCGCGAGTGCCTGCATCACATTTTATTTTGGGAGCAGTGGCGACGACATGTACATGGTTCAAAAAGCTGTTCGTCCAGGAGTCATGGTCGCAAATCTCGTTTTGGATGTGGTTAAAAGTGATAACAGTTACAAGATCCTGAGGACCCGCTCGGATTGGTAACATTGTTAGCCGGCCCCATAAAAGGGGGGGATACCGCTTGAGACTTCCTCGCGATTCGCTCGCAGACGAGGCCCCCGCTCGAGAATTTTCCAGTTTATCCAGCTTGGGGGGCCCCCAAAAAATACAGCATATACAGGTTGCACGTGTTCCGTTCGGATTCGAAGGAGAAATTGGAAACCCCGTCGAGAGGGGCTCCGACACTAGATTTCCTCGCATATTCTCTCGCAGGCGAAGCTCCCGCTCGAGACCCCCTCCACACTCAAGCCTCTAGAGCCCAAAAGTGACGACAGTTACGGGGGATCCGAAGCCCGCCGGGACTGCCAACTTGACGTGCGGGCACCAGAGGGACTCGAGCAATTTTCGCGTTTCTCGCACAGACGAAACACCGGGTCGAGGCTTCCGCCATGTGGTTGGTGGCGTTCCAGTGCCATGCTGGTCGAGTTTGCCGATGACCAGCTCGGATTGCAAACGTGAAGTGCAGGCCCCATAAGGAGGGAGCTCCTGCCTGAAACTTCCTTGCACTTGACTTTCAAATATTGCCATCGGTTGAAAATGTCTAACGGTTTGGCCCCTTGGGGTGTTCAAAAGTTATGTGTGGTAGATGATCCCGATGGCCCCTTCGTATTGCCAACATGAATCGCGGCCCCAGAAGGAGTTGGTTCCCGCATGCGTTTCTTCGCAATTCATTCACAACGAAGCCCCCGCTAGAGATATCTGCACGACTTCCCCGCTTTGGGTTCTCAAGTGCTATGCCTAGTAGCTGATCCTAATGACCCGCTCGGATTACCAGCATGAAGTGCGGGCCCCATAGAGACGGGGCTCCCGCCTGAGATTCCCTCGCAATTTATTTAAGACACGGTGACCCCACTCGAGACATCCTCACGATCTGCCACGTTGGGCTCATGATTGTGATGATGATTGATGGCAATGGTTAGATGACTGATGATGGCGAGCGATCATCGATTGACGATGATGGTGATGATGATGGTTATTGATCTGGTGATGTTAATGATTATGATTCTGATTACTACGATTATGATGGTGTTCCTGATGCTGGTGCTCATTCTGATGCTGATGATTATGATGATAATTATGATTGTGAATGCGATGATGACTATCATAGTGGTGCTGATGATGATGGTGATGATCATGCTGATGATGATGATGCTGATCTCGCAGCGTTAATGATGACAACGACGATCACGATGATGATGGTGATGATGCTGATTACGCTGATGATTAGTGTGGTGATGATGCTGATGGTGATGATGCTGATGATGGTCATGGTGATGCTGATGCTGCTGATGATGATGATGATGATGATGATGACGATGCTGATGATGCTGCTAATGATGATGCTGATGATGATGCTGATGATGATGATGGCGATGGCGATGGCGATGGGGATGGCGAGGAAGAGAGGGGGAGGGGGAGAATGCCTGCGCGCGGGGGGGGCAGAGATGACAAGAACCCCACTGATGATGTGGAGAGAAACAGGCTTCTGATCGGCAACTTAGTGGCAGAACGCAGCAGAGCGGACGTCATCCTCCTCGACACGATTCGTAGCCATTTTGGCTCAAGCACCTTCGTGTGCGCGGGTTGCGCCGTCGCCAAGTGATGCCCCGGCAAGGCTTAGTTTCGTGCACCTGCTGGCTCGCATGTTTCGTTCTGACGCCCATCTCCGCGTGGGACGAGGCGGAGAGGATGCGTCGATTCTGTCAGCGTCACAGAGGCTACGCCGCCGCGCGGAACCCAGGAGACTTGAACGCGACGTTCGAGCCGATATTGAGGGGCGAGGTTTTCCAGGAGTACTCGCCGAGGATACACAGCACTGACCCGTGGGTCGTGTACTTCGAGGAACTTCTCTCGGAGGCGGAGGTGCAGGCCCTTGAAGCGAACATGTTCGACCACAAGGCGCAGGAGTTTTTCAGGAGCGGCGGCGGGGTAGATGGGCGGCATCAGTACAGGAACTCGGAGACAGCCATGTGCGAAGGCCGGTGCGACGAGGACCCCAGCATCCGGCGTCTCCGCGAAAGGGCATCGAAAATCTCAAGGGCTCCAGTGGAGAATTTTGCATTGTCCGAGGCCTTGCGCTACAGAGATGGCATGTTTACAAGGAACACCACGACAACGGATTCATCTTCCACTACCTTCCGTGCGGGGCTCGGATATACACTTGGTTCGTATATTTGTCAGGAGACGGCCTGGAAGGCGGCGCCACCTTCTTCCCGAGGCTGGACGTGAGAGCGCCGGCCAAGCGAGGCGAAGCGGTGCTCTTCCCTAACACCCTGGACAGTGCCCCACAGCACACAGACGACCGCACCATTCACGAGTCGGAGGTAGTCACTCGAGGGGAAAAGCGTGGAATCAACATGTGGTTGCACCAGTACGACTTCAGGACATTCTGGGACAAGGGCTGCGTTTCACATGAGCTCGCAGACGTATGGAGCAGGACAAGAAAGGTTGCGGCCGACGCGATCCAGACAGTCGTCTTCCAAAACAATTTGCAGAAGCCCGTGCACGTCTACTACGCCCCGTGGCGCCTGCCCGAGGAGTACTCGGGAGAGGCCCCTCCGGGCGGCAGCCTCAAGGTCGATGCTGCCGATGGCGAGGTGCTCCACGTCTACAGCAAGAGGTCCGGAGGGAAGCTGGTTGCCAAGCGCATGGTAACCGGCAGCTCCGTCCAGCGCGTCAACCTGGGCAAGAGGCGCGGCGCCGAGCTGTGACGCGGCCTGCTCGGCAGGGCACGCTGGTTGGGCAAGTGCCCGTGCAGACAAAATGTAGCCTGCGCAGAACCCAACCACATGCAGTTGTGGGCACAGCCGTTGTAAGCACCGCATTCGGTGGGGCTCCCTATGAGGCCGCGAAGCGTGTGAGGGGTGTGCCAAAATCGGTGCGGTGGGCGCATGCGAACGCTGACTTTTGGGCCTTCTGTGGGGCTACCTATGGGGCCACCAAGCGTGTCAAGAGCGTGCCAAAACGGGTGCGGTGGGCGCATGCGAACGCTGGCATTTGGGCCTTCGGTTGGGCTCCCTATGGGGCCACGAAACGTGTGAGGGGAATGCCAACATGGGTGCAGTGGGTGCATGCGAACGCTGGCATTTGGGCCTTCGGTGGGGCTCCCTGTGGGGCCACGAAACGTGTGAGGTGGGGGGCCAAAATAAGCGCGGTGGGCGCATGCGAACGCTGGCATTTGGGCCTTCGGTGGGGCTCCCTGTTGGGCCACGAAGCGTGTGATGGGTGTGCCAACAGGCGGGGGAGGGGGGGACGTGAGGCGGGGGGAGGAGGGGGAGCAGGAAGGAAGGAGGAACGCGGGGACCGTCTCTTCAAAACGTGGACCCGATGCCACAGGATGCTCGGGAAAAGCAAGCAAAACAAATCTTCCTCGTGGCGACGGCCCGCGCGCCTGGCACAGATCGGGGTTTGCGGAGTTTCGCCCCTTCTTCATTTGGCCTCGGCAGGACCCAGAGAGTCGGGCGATCGCAAACATGGATCAAGGGGGCGTGGATTAGCGACGGGTCCCGTTTCCATTGGAAATCGCGGATTTCCGCCGCCGAGCAAGGGGGCACCGGCCGCACCTTGGATAGGGCACCTCCCCCGATCCATGGATTTGGCGACCGCACGCCAAATCCAGGGATCGCCAATCCATGTTTGCGCGCCCCCGACTTTCTCGTTAGCCCTCGGCAGGGCCCGGGGAGGGCCCCCTGCGGCGGGGCAGCTCGTGTGCTGGCGGTGGGGGTGGAAGGGGGGCCTCGGGGGGGGGGAAGAGCGGAGAGCCCGCGAGGCACTCCAGGCAGGCCACGGCAGAGAGTTGCCGGCCCTGCATCCACATCGCCCGCAGAGGCACGGTATAGAGGGCAGAACATCCACTCCGATAACAACCACCCCGACACGCGAAGCCGCTTAGTGAACGCGCCCAAAGAAGGAATCGAACAGGGCAGGGCTGGTTAGTTAACGCCCAGGGCCGTTGAGTAAACGCCAAGTTGTCCGGTCCGGGTGGTTTTTTCTTCCCTTGTTTGTAATCGTCCTCAACCCAACCGTGGTGGGCTGTTCGGTACCCGACGCAAGCGCGCTTTGCACTTTGCCTCCCGCTTCCCGCCTCCAGAGGCTCTCTGAGGCCGATGCGCAGTTCCCACCCTGGCCCCTGGGCGGTTTGTCCGAAAAGGGCGTTTTGCTGAAAGCTGCTTTGCCCACCCCCGAGACTCATTCACACTCGGGTTCAGAGGCATTCAGACCACTGATGCCCGGACAAACGAATGGTTAGACTTCATCACGTGCATGCCCATTCATCTCAGACTCACTTGGGAATCACTCACCCTCATTCAGACTCCACCCACAAGCACATGTGCACATACTCAGACTCACTCACGCTCGGACCCAGTCGTACTGAGACTCACGCCCACTAGGACTCACTCACAGCCCGATCCATTTATCCGTACCTATACGACCACCCTTCGGGTGATAAGGAGGTTCGGGGGGGGGGGAGGAACCACCGTCTTACTCGATCGGTCTCACTATCGATCTCACTATCGGTCTCGCTCGATCTATCTCACAATCGATCTGACTATCGATCTCACAATCGATATCACTATCGATCTCACTATCGATGTCACAATCGATCTCACATTTGGTCTCACTATCGATCTCACTATCGATATCACAATCGATCCCACAATCAACGTCATCATCATCATCACCATCATCGACATCATCGTCATCAACGTCATCAACATCATCATCATCATCAGCATCATCATCATCGGGGCACCATCATCTTCATCACCTCATCACCATCATAATCAACATTATCATTATCGCCATGATAATCATCACCATCGGGACACCATCACCGTCACCATCATCATCAACATCAACATCATCGGGACACCATCATCATTATCATCGGAACACCACCATCATCATCATCATCATCATCATCATCATCATCTCACCTTCATCACCATGCACAACATCATCAAAGTCATCACCAGCATACCATCATCATCATCATCAACATCATCATCATCAACATCTTCATCATCATCGGGACACCATCATCATCGTCACCATCAGCATCATCACCATTACCATCATCGAGACACCATCATCATCATCATCAACAACATCAGCATCATCATCGTTACCATCATGGGGCCGCCATCATCAAAGTCATCATCACCTCATCATCATCATCAGCATCCTCATCATCAACATCATCATCGGGACGCCATCATCGTCATCATCAACGTCATCAGCATCGGGACACCATCATCATCATCACCATCATCATCAACAGCATCATCATCAACATCATCATCATCATCATCATCATCGGGTCACAATTATCATCATCTTCATCACCATCATCATCTCATCATTATCCCATCATCATCATCATCAACAGCATCAGGATCATCAACACGATCATCATCATCGGGACACCATCATCATCAGCAACATCATCATCAACATCATCACCATCGGGACACCATCATCAACAACATCGTCAACATCATCCGTAGCCATTTTGGCTCAAGCCGTTCAATCGATCTCGGCTCTTTTCTGTCAGGCTCCAGGGCACGGATCGGTGATCGATCGCTTTTTAGCGTCGTTCGGCGATGTATCACTTCGTGAGGACCATGACTGGGAAGAACATAGGAACCCGCCCGCAGGATAGCGACGCAGAAGCTGCGGTCCCTCCAGATCAGCAACTTTTTTCCGTGCAGGCAGGCATGCCAAGGGTGACTTGGTTGTTAGTTTGCAAAGCGGATTACGTATGAGGAGGCATTTATGTTGTTCTTTCTTTGGCGGACGGGTCGCCAGTGTTGCCGCAGTGGTTGTTACTCTGGTCGTGACCATTGTCTTCAGTGTGGTAGCCGTTCGCAAACAGAGTGTTTCTCGTACCGAGCCAGTCAGGTCCAACATACTTCGTCTCACGGAAGGTTCCAGCCTTGGAGCAGCAGTGTGCGTCGTGGGCCAAGCGACGCGGTTGGAGATTGAGAGTAAGATACAGAACATTATCGATCCGCTCGCCAATGTTACACATGTAGATGTTTTCTTGTCTCTGGAGATTGACGATCACGCAGTCTTCAACAACCCTATAACGGTTGATGTCGACGGCGCTAAATGCCGCGGATCGGAGTTGGATGTGGATGGGTTGAAGGAAGCGTTTGCGCCGTATTTCAGAGACGGAGTGTTCGGGCCACACGTGGACGAGAACGTCACTTTGGAGCGGTGGCCGAAGCTGCACAAGAGACAGCACCCCGATGACGACGCAACGCGGAAGACTCATATTGCCAACGTCGCCAGCCAGCTGAGGCACCAGAAGGATTGCGCGGAGCTTATTCAAAAGAGCGAGGAGTCTGCAGGCGGTAAATACGACATTGTGGTGAAGGTCCGTGACAACACCATCGCGTTGCGGCCTGTGGCGCCAGACAAGCTGTTATCAATCACAGAAGTCGTCCTCAAGCATTGCAATTGGTGGGGTGGCGTTCACGATAAAGTCATGGCCCTCCCACGCAAGTATCTCGAGAAGAGTTTGGGTGCCGCATATGATGCCATGCAAGCCGTCATGTACGATGAACCCCTGCCACGTCGGCTATGGGCATTGTCAAAGCATTCCGACAATACGGAGCAAATTGTTATGTTTACGCTCACATCAAATCTAGTTCCTTTTGTTGAAAAGAATTTCGAGATAGGAGACCGAGATGGTGGCGATTATTTGCCATTCGTGGACGGCAGGTGCTATCCTGGCAAGGAGCCTGGAGACCAAGGTCGCTGGTGCATCGTTTCTCACTGCAAGGACTGCTGGCCGAGCATGCCCTGGACATACAACGTCTCCTGCGAGGTAGCTAGGGCTGGTCTGGAGGTTGGCAGTTATCAGCCAAATCTGTCCTCGCAATTCGACACGTCTTTTGATGAGCAGACGCTCGCAGATCCCGACCCGACGCGGGAGTGCGCGAATCCCCTCTACAGGTGACAGGGCGCGTGCCGTGGAACTTGGAGGCCGAGGTGTGGCGATGCGTGGCGTTGCGGCGAGGGTGCGCAAGGGCTACCGCTCCAGCTGCGCCCCTGCCTCGTGCATGAAGCTGTGAGTGTTGCGTGTTCCAGGCGTCGCTGCTGCAAGACATTGCACGTTAGGTTGGTTCTCTAGGTGCATGGGGTCACATGGGAGCTGGAGGAACTTCTGCGAACCTCTTCGACCAGCCTCGCAAAGCCGAGCGCCGAACTGGAAGCGATTGATCCGGCAGCACCTCAAAAAAAAACATCGTCAACATCATCATCATCATCATCATCATCATCATCATCATCATCATCATCGGGACACAATCATCACTACCATCACCATCATACTCATCATCATCATCATCAAATTCATCATCATCATCATTCACATCATCGGCATCATCATCATCATCACCACCACCACCATCATCATCATCATCATCATCATCATCATCATCATCATCATCATTATCATCGGGACACCGACGGGGTACTGGCGGGACACCAGCGGGACACCGCGCGGCACTGGCCCCCGGAGAGGAATCATTTGGTCCGGCCGCGCCTCAGCTGGAGGCGGGATCACGGCGGGACACCGCGCGGCACCGGCCCCCGGAGAGGAATCATTTGGTCCGGCCGCGCCTCAGCCGGAGGAGACTTTCTTCTCGCCCGCCCACGCAGCTTCGCCTCGCCCGCACGCACGGCACGCACGAACACGAAACCG